TCCCAAAATAAATCTCTCAAAACTAGGACACATTTCATCGTCCTAAAAATACAGACTAACTCAATTATGCATTTCAGGTACGTAGATTTTATATACGAGCTACACGTCTACATTTCTTTTTTTATTGTTTGTTTGTTCGCCCTTGCATGGAGTATTGCTGCCATATATGGGCTGGAGCACCTTTTGTTTACCTCGGAGTTCTTGACAAGATCCAGAGACGGATATGTAATCTAATTGGCCCTGATCTAGCGTCTTGTCTGCAGTCACTCTCTCACAGACGCACCGTCGCCTCTCTCTGTCTTTTCTACAAATACTTCCATGGTAACTGCTCTGATGAGCTGCTCTCTCTGGTTCCCAGACTCCATGAATTCAAACGCCCCTACGAGGCTGGCATCCCTGCCTCATCCTTACACCGTAGAAACCTTCAAATGTAGCCGTCTCTTCTACTCCAATAGCTTCATACCTCGCACCTCTCGCCAGTGAACACCCTCCCCAATTACTGTTTCCCTGAAAGCTATAATCTCCAACTATTCAAATGTAATGTCAATCGACATCTCAATTATCTTGATCTACCCACTATCCTTCTCCTCTTCCTTTCTCCTATCACTCTTATCTGCTCTCGCTCCAAATCTTCCGCAACCCCCTGCACCCTAGTGGCTTCACGCCTTGCTTGGGGCACAATGCATAAAAAAAAAAAAAAAAAAATTATAAATTATTATCTTTGTATGCCATACTAAATGGCTGAGTCTTATTTCCTAGTTGCATCCACTTTAGCATGATTTTTCTTTTTTACTTCTTTAGAAATTTTCATTTTACGTCTCCTGGGATTAATGGGACGACCGACAATAACATCCCTTGTTATTCCTATTCTTTCACGTACATGTGTCTTTGTTTGAATGGTGTTTATGAGTTTACCTTTAAGACTTTTTCTAACGAAATATGATACTCGCGACAAAGACCAAATTGAAGTATTACTGCCATATCTGAACAGGAAGCGAAAAACTTCAAAAAGAATTTACATAGTCGTGTAGAGGGATGAGTTACACTATTTACATTATTATTGTCCTCATCTTTGTCGCCATATTTATTACAACGTTTCGGCCGTTGTACGCTCCGGCCTTCTTCAGGTGGTTGGAATGTCGAACTGAATCCTTTATTTCACTCACTGTTCTCGTTCCACGTGCCATGTGTTAATGGATGTCAGTTATCAGTTATCTCCTGTTAATTCCCCTCTCCAATATCTCCACTGCCTTAACCGGGTATTGAACAATCACACTTTGGGTCCTGTCAGTGGATCTAACCAACGCCTTTATCCACTGTGCCATGTGTCCTTGAAGAATGATATAAGTAGTATACATAATACCTCATCTCAGAAATATAGACAGATTCTGAGGGATGACTTACTTTTCATTCTACAATCACCTAGCTTTAAACTCAACTATTTCTATGGCTAATGTACAGATGAGCTCCATTTTTTAGTTTTACCCGTTCAGACATTGACAAATCAGACACGCCATGATAACTCCGCTGAGTCGAATCAAACCAATTTCCTCTTTTTTTTACTAAATGTAAGAATCCCAAGGAACTGATTCTGAAGAGTACCGAAGGCCACATGGTTAGTTCCTTGAACAGTACGTTTCTAACCACTTCAAATTAAAAATCAATCGTTATCCCGTATTCTTGCCCTGATAAGCTTCACTTAATACCAAATTTATATGGGCACATGGTTGAGTGGTTAAAAGTTTCCCATTCTGACCATGAGACCCGGGTTCGAATCTCATCATGTTCGATGTGTCAGGAAAGACACTTCCTGGTGTTATCGGAATGGAGGGGTCGATTCCAGCAAGTTTGGAACACCATACCAAAGGTTGACCAAATCCTTGTGAGTGAAATTGGTAGACGGTACTTTTGGGAGCCGTCGATAGCTGTGCTAGCATGAATTCACAAGTCATCGTGGCCGAGGGCTTGAGCGTGCTGCCCTTGTTCAAATTGTTGATCAGGCTATATAACACGCTCTTTCCCAGAAACTTTAACTAAGTTCTGCTCAGTATAGTTACAGTATAAACCACAGGTGGGCTCTGTGGGTTTTGAATAAACACAAATGCGCCTGAGCAAGCATCTACAATAGGGATTGGCTAACCGCCCTAGTAGACAGTTATTCTCGAATACGAGTGGCCAGCTATACTACCAACTTTTCATTCATTATGAACCTTTTGGCAGTAGCCATCAAACTTGAGCTACCAAGTCTTATATTCAACGGCATTTACTAAACAGAAAAAAGATGTTTTTTTGTAGATAGACTCATAAGAGATATACGACAGACATTTTCTATATTCTTGGATATCTGTCTTCTTTATCTTTTCGAGGCAATTTTCACACGACACTATTACGCTGAAGACAATTTTAACAGAGAAGAAAATGCGATGATTTAAGGAAAAAGAATGAGAGAAAAAGAAAGATGAACGTTTTAGGTTATGAAAGATTTTACATTAATCCCGTCCCAGACAACGTTGTCATTTTTTTTATCAGTCTTTATTTACAAAGTACAGGGGAAAGGAAATCTGCTTTTAGAAAAGTCTTCGGCAGACGATTATACGTGTTTGAACATTCCAAGAACAAGAGAATGGAAGTATTTCATATAAAGAGTTTACAAATAATGTAATATTCTAAACGAGAAAATTTCAGTTTGGATTTTCTTAAGTTGATTGATTGCTTTGTTTCTTTTACTTTACAGTTTATTAACACCTTTTTAAGTTATTTAACCCCTTCTCCGGCACAGTGTTTACATCAAATATTTCATCTGATATTAGTAGGCGCGAACCTAGCGTGATTATATGAGTTTTATATAGTTATTTCTATGGTTTCTTAAACAGAAATATTAGTAAAGAGAATTTCAATATCTAACGAGGCGAAGTAACATAGCTTGATTTATTAGATTGTGATATGTCAAGAAAATCGTTGGTCGAACTAACACCATATTTATTAGACAAGTATGATTGGATGAGTTTTTTAGAGTTTCAGATAAGTTAAATACGGGAGTAGGAATTTGAGAGATTATGAGACGTCGCAATCAGTTCGGTCTGTGGATTTTAACATTTCCGTATAAATAGCCGGGATTATACTCATCCAAACTTTTGTTGAGTCTCATTGATCCTTTTTCGGCATTATTAATTTTAATTAGTTTGTTTATTCGTGTCTAAAGAAGGTCAACATTATTTTTCTTAAATTTGTTTATTATTGAGGATGGCATCAAGTTTGTTTTTTGTTACAGTCAGTTCTATTTAAATTAACAAAAAATAATAGACTTATCACTCTTTCCAATTATAATGTTTTTATTTTCTTCAAACTCGAGTATATACATTTTTACTGGAAGTGTCTGTTTTTCAGGCACCGACGAATAAACACGTCGAAAACACAACCTTCAGAGTCCACCTTCAGACATCTTAATACGTCAATCTGGATTCTTCTTATGTCCTTCTGAGATGGAAACGAGTTCAGTTGTTAACTCATACGCCCTGTAGAGGTGTTAGCCCGCTTACTTCAAAGAACCTCAGATATTTTTTTTTTACTTACTATATTAAAAACAAAACAAAACGTCTGAAAAATGAAACGTTTTTCCTAAAATAATTCCAGAGGAAGGGGCTTACATAAGTAACATATTGAATTGTAAGAATTTTGGGGAGATAATGATTTTCTAATACAAGTCATACTATTAAACCCATAACTGGGTGGGGAGGCAGAAGTGATAGATTCATGCCTTTGCCAAGAGTATTTACACGTAATTGAATATAACGAACCCAAATGGAATTGGAACTCGTAACGCCGATATCACTTTCCAAGTCTTTATCCATTACATCACTCGCACGTCCATGTTTAGAGAATCTGGTTTTCTTTATCGGTCACCCGTCTAAGTACTGACCAAGTTCAACGTTATTTAACTTCGGTGATCTCGCGAGAACAGTTTTTTCAACATGATATAGCCTTCAGCATAATTCTTAATTTAATGTTTGAATAAGCTTATGGCGAGTTCTACAACAATAAAATAGACGTAGAAATTTATCTGTCGCATTTGTTAAATATTTGTGCTTAACAGCTTTAAAAAAAATATTGCAATAGCCATCATAATACTGATCGTTATTTTAATACGTAAGGACAACTTTTATTTCCATTTCACTGAAACATACGTTAAACACATCTTGTTCATTCTTTCTTTCTTTTTCTCAATTAAATTAAGTAGTGTTTCTGATATATCTTTTTCCGTCTTTCCACGTGATCAAATCGAAATAGTCAATTATTTACAGGATTTTGGCAGGGGACGTTAAAAACTCCTGTCTTCCTTCCACTCTCATTTTCTTTCTTTCTTTTTCTCACTGATTTGCAAGTAGCTTTACTGAAATATCGTTTCCGTCTTCCCACGTGATCAAATCAGAATAGTCCATTATTCACGAGATATAAACAGGAGACGTTAAAAACTCCTTTCTTTCTTTCTTTTCCTCGCTGAATGCAAGTAGCTTCATTGAAATATCCTTTCCGTCTTTTCACGTGATTAAATCGGAATAGTCCATTATTTACGGGAGACGTTAAACAATCCTATCTACCCTTCTGCTTCTCTTTCTTTTTTCTTTTCTTTCTTTCTTTCTTTCTTTCTTTCTTTCTTTTCCTCGCTGAATGCAAGTAGCTTCATTGAAATATCCTTTCCGTCTTTTCACGTGATCAAAGCGAAATAGTCTATTATTTACGGGATCTTGGCAGGAGACGTTAAACAATCCTATCTTCCCTTCAGCCTTTTTTTCATTTTTTTTCTTTTTTTCTTTTCTTCACTGAATGCAAGTAGCGTCATTGAAATCATTTTTCCGTCTTACAACGCGATCAAATCAAAGAATCCATGCCAGGTGCTTGGATATGCGGGAGGTGTAAGAAAAATTTGATATAAGAAATATTACTAAGAAATAAATTATAAAGAGTTCTTTGATGACGTATAAAATGAGTATAGCTTACTTCCATATCATGCTGAAACATCAGATCCCGTACGATCTTCAAAGTTAGGCAACATCGAGTTTGGTCAGTATTTAGGTGGGTGACCGCTTGGGAATACAAGATGCTATGAGTTTGGATGTGTGGGCGGTGTAATGAATAAAAGTCCGGCATCTGAAATCGAAAATCGGAGAGTCAATTTCTAATTCCACCTGGCCTGGTTCTTAATATTCATTTACGCGCAAATACCCTTAACCCTTTTGGTCAATGTAAGACCTCCCCTTCTCCTTTTTATGAGTTAATTAGTAAAATTGTATCAGATATTCATTACTATTTCCCAAATAATCTTGCACCCTAAAAATATTTTCTAGCTTTAAATAACCTGCACACAGTTGATAAACTCTAAAAAACAAATCGATCTTCTGTGAGATAATTATCCATTATTCACTGCCATGATGGGAGATTGTTATTAAATAGGGTTCAACAACGACTTTTCGTTTCCAACGAAAGTTTATTATACTCTGTTATATGTTGTTCCTCTGGATTTTCGCATTGGGTAGATAATGGTGGAATTTAGTGCCTTGGTCATAGTAGACACTTCTCCCCTTGTCTTCTTCCCACTTGCAATACAAGAAATATATTATGCGCGTAAAACATGAACATAGTTACCTGCTGCTAAATCTCATACCATGAAGGCCTTCAGCCTACAAGAGATACCAAAATATTCGGGGTTTTTTTTCGGTTATATATATATATATATATATATATATATATATATACCAACGGTTTCCCATACGTAATACTTCTCGAATTGACTCTCGCGTGGACATGTGTGACGTCATGATCTGTGGTTCGATTTTCGCTTCCAGCGTCTTATATGCACGTGTTTATCGTTGCTTGGAAATCATCCATGTACACAGAAACAGACTATCATCACTTTCTTGTCCCTGTAATGCATAATATATTGTACTGTAATTGTCCTATAATTGATAATGGCTTATGTAAGCCGAAAGCTTAGATTCAATTATTAAAAAATATGTATCAATATTGTGATTTTCTTTATTCGTTTAATGATAATGTTAAGCTTATCAGACGTTATGTAAAGAATTTACATAAAATAAATAGACAACGCTTATCTATATTATTTAATGAAACATATATATATATATATAGGAATGTGATCGTGTTATTCCTATATTTGCATATCTCCTTAATTATTTTTGGAGCAGCATATTCTGAAATACCTTTTTGATAATCAAAACAAAATCCTATATCGCTCACCAACATTTATAATCACTCACCATTTTTATTGATTTGCTTATCACCCACCCAACAGGTGAAATCGTCTACCGTTGGTTGATATCGCCCACATTGGGAAAGCCTGGTCTGGATTGTATCTTGCAAATCACTCACAAATCTGAAGCAGATAGCTCACTCTTATATCCTTGTTCGCGAGAATATAGATGGAACTCATATCTAATCTGATTCTGCGAAGTTGATTGAATGCTAAATTCGAAAAAAAAAAAAACATGAAAAAACGTTTGAAATGTTTTCCTATTTAAATAGAACAATATTTCAAATGTATAAGTTGTATATTATTTCCCGAAATTTAAAAAAAAAATTAAGCAATTCAACCTCATCAAGTGCTACTGTGAGGTAAGGTGATAGAGTGAGAAAAAACCTTTAGAAGAGACCGGAAACCCGATCATAAACCGGAAACACGGGAGAAAACGCTATTCCTGTCCAAAAGATCGTCGGGGAGAGTGAACCGAATGATAGGCGAATCTATTTACTCCTAACGAGCTATGTGTACCAACCATCAAAGTCCTTAATATAAACATGTTAGCGTAAATTACTTTCAACGATCTAATATCATAAATCTTATGTAACATATTTATTCTTAAGAAATATGTGCATTTGATCGCTATCAACTTGGGCTTACTCAAATCAAATTATATAATCGTCACTTTGGATAATTGATATCTATTATTTTATTTTATAATTTCATTAATAATTCTTTTAGAGGAGATTGACCAGAATGAGGCAATCAACTTAGTATTTTTTTTTTTTTTTGATTTTGCTTGTCCGCTTTGTGATTAATGATTTGTTTACGTTGCAATCGATTTAACGTTCTGCTAATTCGTTAGTCATAAAAGGAATCTTTTTTTTTTTAATACTTGGCTCCTGGAACTGTGAAATCTTTTTTATTGTTTTGGTATTCTAAATGACATCGGAATCAATGGATAATGGAATATATAGGAAACTGCTAATATTTACGATGACTTTCAGAATCATGTGTACACAATATGCAAAAAGTAGAGTTAGTGGGGCCAATCTCTAATCAGGTCAAACCACAGCCGAAGCCCACCGATTTGAAATCAGCTAATTCAATTGCATCTATAGATTTAGCCTGCAGCCGGCGGGAATCGGCCTTAATTAACGACTTTCTTGTTTGTGCTTCCGTGAAATTAGGAGCGAATTCATTAAAATAAACAATGATTAGATAAATTGATGTCTAAGTAAATATTTCTAATTTACATAGTAAAAGTGCATTATTGTACCGGGTTATGCATTGCATTAAATTCTACAGCATCAATATAGTTAGGCACACCAACTGTTTGAGCTGATGTGATCTACTAGCCATTGAAATAACCTCACAGGAGCATCCAGCATAAGAACGATAAACACGGAGTGACCAGAGATATGCACAACGACTTTTCGCTTTATTATACTCTGTTATATGTTGTTGTTCCTCTGGATTTCGCAGGGTAGATAATGGTGGAATTTAGCCTTGGTCATAGTAGTCTCTCAGTCTTATGATTCAAGATCGCGCGTAAACGATGAACATATTAAAATCTCATACCATGAAGGCCTTCAGCCTAAAAAATCTATTTTTTCGGTTACCCCATACGTAATACTATCGTCATGATCTGTGGTTCGATTTCGCTAATATGCACATGTTTATCGTTGCTCCATGTACACAGAAACAGACCATCACTTTCTTGTCCCTGTAATGCATAATATATATTGTACTGTAATTGTCCTATAATTGATAATGGCTTGCCTAGTGATTTTCTTTAACAGATCAGACGTTATGTAAAGAATTTACATAAAATTATTATCTATATTATTTAATGAAACATAAAATATATATAGGAAATCGTTAAATTTGCATATCAAATTTTTTGAGCAGCATATTCTGAAATACCTTTTGATAATCAAAACAAAATCCTTTTTTATAATCCTCATTATTCCATCACCCACCCAACAGGTGAAATCTTCATTTTGATAATCATTGTATCTTTTAAATCCTCATTTGATAGTTTTATATCCTTGTTCGCGAGAAATAGATGGAACCCTGTTCGAAATTGAAAAAATTCGAAAAAAAAAAACATGAAAAAAACGTTTGAAATGTTTTCCTATTTAAATAGAACAATAAAATGTATAAGTTGTATGTCTTTGGCTACATGCGAAAGGTGATAAGGAGAAAAAACCTTTAGTCTCGTCATAAACCGGAAACACGGGAGAAAACGCTATTCCTGTCCAAAAAGATCGTCAGGGAGTTGATAGGCGAATCTTTTACTTAACGAGCTATTGACCAAATTGTCTGAACATTTAGCGTAAATTACTTTCGATCCGTTTCTTTCTAACATATTTATTCTTAATTTTTGATCATTCAACTTGGGCTACTCAAATCAAATTATATAATCGTCAATAATTGATATCTATTATTTTATTTTATAATTTCATTAATAATTCTTTTAGAGGAGATTGACCAGAATGAGGCCACTATTTTTTTTTTTTGATTTTGCTTGGGATTAATGATTTGTTTACGTTGCAATCGATTTAACGTTCTGCTAATTCGTTAGTCATAAAAGAATCCCCCCTGAACTGTGAAATCATTGTTTTGGTATTCAAATGACATCGATGGATAATGGAATATATAGGAAAGCCGTACATAATGATGCAAAAAGTAGCGGACAAACAAACCACTTTGAAATCAGCCAATTGCATCTATAGATTTATGCAATCGGCCTTAATTAACGACTTTCTTGTTTGTGCTACCAAAAACTCATTTTAATTTTTTGATCTATTTTTAATTCTTATATAAAAGTTTTTAATCTTAAAATTTTATTTTATTTTTTTCTCGTCAGTCCAGTGTTTGACCCATAGTAACACATTTTGTCCTAATCATTCTAATCTGTTTGATGGTTTGCTTAGAAATCCCGGTTCGAAAAAAAAATCAGAAAAAAAGGGAAAATTGATTGTCTTTCAGAAAAAAAAAGGAAAATTGAATGTCTTTGATGCGAAAGTGTCTTCTAATCAGTATTCTCATGATCTAGTTGGCTTGATAAAAATCCCACTTCATTACAAATTATCTGATTTAAAACTAATAATTCAATCTAATCCCCAAAACAGAACGTTTTGGTAAAGCCAAAATCTGCATTGAAAAGGAACGTTTGAAGAAAAGTGTCTCGTCAGGATTTTATCACTTTGATGTTGATTAAAAATATCTGATTTAAAAACTAATAAACCTTTTGGTAAAGTTGATTAAAATTAAGAAAAGGGATTTTATCACTTTGATGTTGATTAGCGTGTTACATAAACTTATTAATTAATGATCAAATGTATTTTCTTTTATGACGTTTATATTTCTACAGCAGTTGCTTCCTATACTCTATGAGGATTTGTTAAGTTTGATTTCTAGACGATGTGACTTTTTAGCAGATTAATTCAGAAAGATAGACGACGTCATATTTTATATTTGTCAAAATGCAAAACAATATGTATAAATCATTTCATTAATTAGAAAAAAATATTTTAATGATTCACGTTTGAAATTTAAAATTCTGGTATTTTCCTTTGCTGATAAAAAAAAAATCTAACGACTTTCGTGATTTATAAATTTAATTAATTTTATCATACGATTAGAAAAAATTTATAGAAATATATTTTGGATAATTATTGTCTCTATTTACATATACTGTATCGGAAAGAGGATATTGCAGGAATATTTATTAAATTTATTTTAAAGTTTTATTGTGTATAAAACATTGTGTATTTGAGTGAAATAAATTGTCACATGTAAAAAACGGATGTTTTGAAATAATGAAAGTGAAAAAAAAAAA